AGAAGCGCAAGTTCAACCGAGCAATGAAAAAGCTAAAGGAGACGAACGTGAGTTTAATGCCAGCATGAGGACATCCGATAACGCGCTCAAGGAGGATGTAAGGAGAACTCTTCGATGTTTCTTGTGTAATAAGATAGGGCACAAGGCAGAGAACTGCCAGAGTCGAAGCAAATACTCTAGACCACCTACGTGTTGGCACTGTGGGAAGCCGGGGCATAAAGCTGAAAGATGCAACCTGAGGTCTGGGGATAAGACCAAAGTTTCTTGCCTATGGACAGCATAGGATGAAAGGCAAGGGGAACCGGACGATTCCTACATTACCCTAAAGAATGGAGGCAGGATCTCAGTTGTAAATGCGGCTGTTGGTCGAGCACCCAAGTTCTTGGTGGATAACATGCCTGTAGTTGAAGGTCGTGTTGGGGAACAGAAGGTAACAGTGCTGCGGGACACTGGCTGTAATACCGTAGTTGTGAAAAAGAGCCTAGTCCCTGTCGAGTGTTACACCGGCAAATCGAGCCCTGTATTTTTGCTTGACCGAACCGTAAAATACCTACCAGAGGCTGAGATCTTTGTTGATACACCTTTTTTCATTGGAAAAGTTATCGCAAAGTGTATTGACAACCCACTGTACGATTTAGTTCTCGGCAACATCCCCCAGGCAAGAGAGGCACACGAGCCGGACCCGGCCTGGAATTGCGACCAACAGAGCAGCAACGAAATTCCACCGCGGACCGAGCATCTGGGTTGCGAGGACATGGAAGAGCAGAAAATCGAGAACAGAGCTGATTCATCACGACACGTCCCAAGTAGCCACTCTACAATGCTACATGTCAACGTCGCCGGACTTGGACAGGCGAAGAACGGTAGCAATAGAGGACAGGCACCCTTGAACGTACCACAGGTTCCAATCCTTGAAACGACAGAAGAGGAGCTCTCGAAGGAGCAGAGGAATGACCCATCCCTCAAGAAGTGCTTCGACAACGTAGGAAAAGTGATAAGGAAACACAAATGCCGGACAAGATATGACATGGTAATTCGAAACAACTTGCTTTTCCGAAGCTGCGTGTTCGCCACTGTGAGAAGCATTGAGCAATTAGTGCTCCCAACGAGATACAGGCCAACTGTGTTGTCAATGGCACACGATGGCATCATGTCTGGACATCAAGGTGTGAAGAATACGCTTGCATTGGCGACAGAAGAGTTCTTCTCGCCTGGAATTCAGAGCGACATCAAGCGGTATGTTCGCTCATGCGACGTCTGCCGACGAACAGTGCCAAAAGGAAGAGTGGGCAAAGCACCTCTGGGGACCATGCCTACAATTGACACACCATTCAAGCGAGTGGCAGTCGACATCATCGGGCCAATTAGACCAACAGCAAGTTCGGGCAACCGATATATTTTGACGTTGGTGGACATGGCCACAAGGTACCCGGACGCTGTCCCCTTGAGGAAGATTGGGACAGAGCAAGTGGCAGAAGCGCTCTTAGAGATGTTTGCCAGGTACGGCATTCCATCAGAGGTCCTTAGCGATCGAGGCTCCTGCTTCACCTCAGATCTCATGACGGAGGTGAGCAAACTTCTTTCGGTGAAGCGTCTACTGACCACCCCTTACCATCCGATGGCGAATGGACTGGTTGAGCGATTTAACGGAACCATCAAACAGATGGTGAAACGAATCTGTCAGGAAAGGCCCAAAGACTGGAATAGGTACCTTCCGGCATTGCTGTTTGCTTACAGAGAAGTCCCGCAAGCAAGCCTGAAGTTCTCACCTTTTGAGTTGCTCTATGGGAGGAAGGTGCGCGGACCTTTGGCCATCCTCAAGGAGATATGGTCCAACGAGTCTCTCAAAGCTGACCTCAAGACGACCTACACCCATGTCCTAGAATTGAGAAATAAACTGGAAGGGACATGCGAGTTGGCTCACCATTGTTTGGAAGAAGCCAAGGGCAAGTACAAAAAATACTACAAGAAGACCGTCACCCGCCAACTGAGACCAGGGGACTTGGTTCTCATCCTGCTTCCAAGCGATCACAATAAACTGATCATGCAATGGAAGGGACCCTTTGAAGTCTCAAGTAGGATAAATGAAGTCAACTACGAGCTTGATGTGCGCGGAAGAAAGAAAGTATTCCACGTGAATACGTTAAAAAAATATGAAGAAAGGCTGAAGTACGGGATGAATCGGCCAAGTTGCGGCGCGGCGACCCAAGACTTCGGCGAGAAGACTCAGAAAGAAACACTACAGAACAGTCTTGGCAAGATGTCGTCGTCAACGAGGACTTGCAGGACAAGGAAAAGGACGAGGTATGGAGATTGACTGGACAATACCAGTCGGTGTTTTCAGATCGACCCGGCCAGACCAACTTGGTAACGTGTGACTTGAAACTGACCACTGAGGAACCAGTCCGGGTGAGACAATATGCGTTGCCCTTTGCTGTCCAAGACGTAGTAGAAAAGGGGATCTCGGAGATGCTACAACTGGGAGTCATCGAACGGTGTACGTCACCCTACAATGCACCGGTCGTGATCGTTAAAAAGGAAGACGGGTCCAATAGATTTTGCGTGGATTATCGAAGATTGAATGACGTGCTGAAGGTAGACGCGGAGCCTATCCCAAGGATTGATGTCACTTTTGCTAACGTGGGACGAAAGAGGTTCTTTTCGAAATTAGACTTATCGAGGGGATACTGGCAAATCCCGTTGGAGGAGTCGGCCAAAGAGAAAACTGCATTCTCTTTATGAAGGGGACACTACCAATTCAGGTTTATGCCGTTCCGGCTTAAGACTGCCTCGGCTATCTTTACAAGACTGATGAGGAAGCTACTTGGTGGAATCGCTGACGCTCATGACTATATTGACGACATCCTGATAGCGTCAGGCTCATGGGCACAGCACATGGAAACTCTGAGAACAGTTTTCGATCGTCTGCAAGCCGCTAACATCACAGCGCGTCCAAAGAAGTGTGAGGTGGGGTTCACCAAGACGGTCTTCCTCGGGCACGAGCTAGGAGGAGGACGGATTGCGCCCAACGCGGAGATCCTTGAAAGGATTCAAGATGCACCGCGACCAGTGACGAAACGCCAAGTCAGGTCATTTCTTGGATTATCTCGGTACTACCGCGACTTTGTACCAAATTACGCGGATCTTGCTGTGCCACTGGTGGAACTCACGAGGAAAGGAGCACAAAATGAAGTCGAGTGGGGTGAAGACCAGGAGGAGGCATTTGAGGAGTTGAAGCGGTGCTTGTCGCGGTCGCCTATCTTACTGGCACCAGATCCCGAAAAGGAGTTTTTTTTGCGTACAGATGCGTCTGATGCGTCTTTGGGTGCGGTGTTGCTGCAGGAAAGCGAAGGCTTGTTACACCCGGTGGCGTATGCTAGCAGGAGGCTGAGCAAACCAGAGACGAATTATGCCACCATAAAAAAAGAATGCTTGGCAATTGTATGGGCCGTCGAGAGATTTAGGCTGTTTCTACATGGCCGGAAATTTCGAATTCAGACCGATCACCGACCGTTGCAATTTCTGAACAGGGCGAAGCATGCTAACAGTCGCGTGATGCGATGGAGTCTGGGGCTGCAAGACCAGAACTTCCACGTAGAATATATCAAGGGATCTGATAATGTTGGAGCGGACTTCATGAGTCGCGTTGAGATCTAAAGCGGGGTTTCCTTTCTTTTTACGACGCGGAACGTGGAAACAGATTAAGTAATGTGAACAGTGAACGTACGTTTCGTATGATGTCAGGGTAGGATTCTTGTTTCAACAAGAAAGGAAATGGGATCTCGTTTTGTATCTTAGTAAACGTGTTTTTGACAAATTTAGTGATCAAATGTGAGTCTTCTAGTGGTACGGGCAAGGTTCAAAATGATTGAAAAGTATCTGGGGAAATGAAAAAAGTATTTTGTTAATTATGGAAATGCGGATTTCGTGGAAAACGATTTGTTTTGACTTTGTGCATGCTGGTCGAACACGGGCGCGGGTGCTGCAAGAAAGTGACTGTGTGTGCGTGTGAATGGCGACATTGACCATGTATCAACGACGTCGTCACGTGCAGAAATCTTCATGAGATGAAGTTTTTAACAGTTGGGGGGAAATTTCACAATCCTCATGACAATGATCGCGCCGCGGCCGCGATCGAAGACGAAGAAGATTTGGAAGAGAACGAGGTGGGTTGCCCGCGACCGAGCAGGGATTTGGAAGCGAAGCACGGACCGCGACGGTCGGCCTGCAGATCGCTCAAGAGCGGCCACGGTCAGCGGAACGCTGAGTCTAGCGGTCTGGTCGACGGAACCTTCGCCGGACTCCGACACTTGGGACTGCCATGCACAGCTCCCAGCCAAGTCTGCGCTACGACCTCCAATCATCGAGGCGAAGACAACCGCCTTCACGAGGACACGCCACGGAGGAGTCGTGAGCGAGATTCGCCTGATGTGTCTGTGACTTGACGGAACTTTGATTAGTGTTGAGACGCGTGTAGAATTTCTTTATTGTACTTTTTTTCTAGTAATTCTCTCTTTCTTTTCTGACGGTTTATTTTTATCTTTCTTTCTCATTATAGTTATTCCGCTCCCTTAAATTATATAACGTATTTCTCATTCCCGAAAATCTCATGGTCTTTGTCTTCCTCTTCTGCCAACGGGCGGTGACAGATACATGTTCTGAAAGCACTGTGGAAGTTCGCTTCAGCTCGCACTCAGCAGCCACGAACTCAGCTATAGCCGCCAGTGAATACATCATACAGCTGCTGACAGAGTGAGAAGAACGCGACTTTCGAACGGGTTCAACACTCCATGCCTTCTGCCGTGCTCTGGCTTCACGCGCGCTCGGGGTGCCCTGCCACTCTTCTGCCAGTGGCTGTCGACGTGTAATCGGGACCGATTCTGAACTGTCAATTTTTCCGGCCGAAAAGTGAGATGCCAAAATCTTGAGGATAGAAGCTTTGCGTTTCGGGAGAGGTATGAAGGTGGAAAAAATAAAACAACACAAATGCAGGCGTTCACCCTGGGCTCCAGAGGCCAGCGTGGTTCCGCAATCGCCGTCTCCGCACTCGGAGTCCAGCTTGTTCAGCTCCTTCTCGTGGACCAGGAGAGACTCGCACGCCCGCACCATCGCGAGCCGGAACTTCTCTTGTTCCTCTGAGGGAAAGAAACAAACGAGTCGTAACGATAAAGAACAGAAACTAAGGATTTTTTTTTTTTCAAATTACGTGAACAGCGTACGAGGACAAACTCTGCAAAAGGTAACCCAGAGGCAGCTCGAAAATGCGAATCTCTGCGGAATTCTGAAAATTATAGGCGCCTTTACGTTAACGTATCGTAGGAAGGTGGCGGCGACCCCCCAGTTCTTTTTTTACAGCGGAGCTCTTAAGGGCTAGGTTCCCCAGGATCGTGTCCGGTATGTCGACACAAACCTACCTGGACAGCTACCACCATTTATAAGCGACGTCGCTCGTAGATGGCGCCAGCCTCTCCAAGCTTCAGCTATAATAGGAGATATTCACTGGACGCCATATTTGAGGGCGATGTTTAGAGCGCATGCTCAGAATGAGCTCATATTAATAGCCTGCTAAGACCGGCAACCTTGATGGTGCTAAATGCACGCTCCAAAAGGACTGCGGAACCTCGCCGTCAGCACGTGCTCAACAGCAGCGCACACGGCTATGACCGCCAGTGAATACTCCCTATATAAGAAGGGATACTTGGGCGCGTTGGTGGGAATTCATCGTAGGAAACAGCGCGAAAAACAAACGACGACAAAGAAGAGGCACACAGTGTATCGAATACAGCTCCGCTGGTCTTCCTTCTTCACGAGAGTGGAAAGGCTGTTTCTCTCTCTCTCTCTCTCTCTACCCCCTCCCTCTTCCTCCAAAAATTGTAGGCATGTCCCCCCCCTCTTCCTATAAAGACATTTTCAATTAATCAGTCTTCCCGCCTCTTTCCCCTCCCTTCACATCTTCCTGAAGGTAACGTCAGCCACGATGCTTATTATCTGAGAGTGTCATTGAACCTTGTCACTTGAATCTAAGGTTGCGCATATATTCGCGGGCTCCACGGGACCGCGCAGCGACAAAAAACATATCGGCATCATCGCAGTACAATTTGCCTCGTGCGATGTTTTCGCTGCATATCGTATACAAAAAAAAAAAAAGAAAGGTAGCATACAGAAAAAAAAAAAATGTTATTGGGAGCCGCCAAACAACATATAATATTTTTTTTGTTATTCTTTATTTATTTAACCATATTGTAGGCCAATGGGTCCGAGCAAGAGGAAAAAAACTGTGGGGTACACACCCTGTTGAATACACGCGCAAAACAACCTTCAACTTTGCAAACAGAGGTTCATAGCTCATTTTAGTGAACGTCGGTAGCGAACACCTTTTATAGAAAAACTAGTTTGGAGAGAGTGGTGACAAGTCTCTTTTTAGCGAATTCGTTTTTATAGAAAGAGAATTCGCCAAACTTGGCGGCTCGTTTCAACGGTGGCTCGTTCGCCCGCTTTGCGTCGGCCGACGGCGAAGCTGATCCAGTCAGCGAGGCGGTTGGTTGGGGGATTGGGCGATGCCCGATTTAGATAAACACGCCTTAGGGAATCGCACACTAGCCTTTAGTGACTTCAAGATTTGCTTACGCAGATGGAATAGATTTGCTAAACAGCGTCCCTTTTTGAATAAATGGCGTTACTCTCAAATGAGGCTCCGCATTTTCTAAACCGAGCTTCGATAAGACGTGGCCGTTATCTAAAACGTGTTTCGTTGAAATGGCGTTCGATCAACCGAACTAGAGCCGTACATGTCGCGCTGAGCGCGGAACAACATACACATACATAGGAGTACGAAACCCTGAAGAGGCAAGAAAAAAAAAAAAAAACTCGCATAGCAAATTAAAAAAAAAAAAAAGAAACAGCACGGGACTGCGCTGTCGGTATGAAGTATGAACTCCCACGGTATATTCGAGAGGGTTTTAACTCGAACGAATATTTCATAATAAATGACGTTACATATGTAACGTCATGTGACGTCGTGTGTGTGAATACGAGAACGGGCTACGGAGGTATATATGTTGTGGTGAGCTGACTGCCGACCTATTGGAAATAATGGTCGAGGAAGCCAGCGACACCCCTCTGGCTGCGGGCGTAATCAATTCCACCCATAGAAGGAAGCCCCACCAAACGTCATCACTAGTGTATCCGCGCAGCGCCGCCTATGCGCAGCGCAAGTTCGTCTGCTTCTTTTGCAGGGGTTGTAGCGACATCTAAACGCCGAGCTCTGATTGGCTCTGTCTGATGGAAGGATAGGGAGTAGACCTCTAAGCAATCTACCGTGAGGTCTACCCACTATCCTTCCATCAGAGCCAATCAAAGCTCGGCGTTCAGACGTCAATGCAACCCCTGTGCAAGAAGCAGACGAACTTGCGCTCCGCCTAGCTTGCGTCAGCATGGCCAACAACGCATTTTGGAGCGTCTTACAACGAGCAGGACGCGTCTGCCGCTTTGCGGCGACTGTCGTCGAGGTTCGGCGTGTTTCCCGTTCGGGGCAGGAATGGGGGTTCATTAACGACGACGTCATGCGCACGCCTTGTCTTCGAATTGGCGTAAAACACGCACCGGGGCCGAGCACGCAGACCTGGTCGGCTTCCCCGAGGGAGTGTTCGTCGTCCCTCTTGGGAACCACGGCCGGGGCGTCGGCAGGCGTGAATCGCTCGAAGCCCACGGGGCAGTAGGGTTTCGTCCAGGCAGGCGCGTTCGTGGAAGCGTCTGCGGAAGAGGAGAAATGGCCGTAAACCTGAGACAACTAAAAGCTTTCGGTGTGTGACGCTTGGCTATGTTACCATATCTATGTAATTTTTTGTAAGTCTCTCGAAACTGGGTTACTCCCTAAAGAACGGAAAGAAATGTATGTTGTACCAGTTTATAAAAACGGACCAAAATTAATCCTTGACAATTATAAGGCCATTTTGTTAAGTTGGATAACATGTAAAAATATTTGAACATATTGTCTATAGCCGTATAATTAAGCACTTAGAAGCCAAGTTTTTTTTTTGTCTTAACCAACGAGGTTTTTGTAGGGGAGTCTCCTGCAACACCCAATTAATTTAACTTTTTCGTGATTTCCTCAGTACGGCTGAAAATAGGCAGCAAACTGATGCAATTTCTATAGACCCTTTCTTCAAGGGCGCCACCATCTTGAATTGTCGTCACTTCCAGTATGGGTGAGAACACTGTTTTGCCGTCGCCACGCCAATAGAATGCATTTCGGAGAAAAGCGTAAACGTCACCCATTCTCGTTTGATCTCCCCTATATATATATATATATTTTTTTACTATTTTGCAGGTTGAAACGTTTTAATATTTTTTCGTCGCCCACGCCGGATATGCCTACTTGGCGGTCGGGGGCGAGAGTAAGCGGAAAAGGTCTATAGATTTCCGTAAAGCATTTGATTCTGTTTCACACCTATTGTTTTTGCACAAAATGAGTGACGACACATGTCTTCGTGTCTTGTAACCTATACACAAATTTAGTTTCCCTGCGAGATTTAGCGGAAAAATTAACGTCACATGACCTGCAGATAAATGCAGCTTCCCCGCTAAATTTAGCGGGGAAATTAACGTCTCGTGACCTATGCAGGAACCCAGCTTCCCCGCCAAACTTAGCGGGAAATGGACATTACGTCACGCCGATTGCATATCGGTGCAGCCACGAGGTGCAGCTATCGCTAAACGCTTGTGACGCTAGAACGTCTCACGTATCTGACAGAATTGCCTAGCAATTTGCCATAAATTTTTAATGCGACAGCATTAACTGCCCCATGGAGCGAGCCGACGTCATCACCTTTGAAGCCGTGCCCAACGGCACCTTAAATCCTTTCTCAAAGTGAAGTCAGCTCCCAGCTATGAAACTACGCGAAAAGCCTAGACAACGACACCGAGTTCCCACAATCACAAAGGAGAGCAGTGGAGCTGATAAATTTCGGCTTTGGTCAATGGTCCCATTGGCTGGCGCGCGTCGTAGTTTCAAGAAACAAGGCTCCCATTGGCCGCTGCGCGTCAGTTTCAACGACCGCCACCCCATGGCGCTGCGTGTCCGCCAGCGCGGCAGTAACACGAAGCGTCCAAGGTCAGAGCGGCGAGGAGAGGGCTCGCTCTGCCGTAGACGCAAATACGCAGCAGACGAAATAAGAGAGCGGTGACGTCGTACTTTTTTTTTCTCCTTTTCGATACTCGAAGTGTTTGCGCGGGCACCGTTCCACTGCCAACGGGGCCTTTTTGCTGTGACGATAGAGACACGAGCTTGTGCAGGCTTACTTACCCAGGTACCGTAGCAGAAGTGCGTCCACCTTGAGCACGCTGACGGAGATGCCGGCGCTCTCGAGTGACGTCATGTAGAAGCCCGAGTAGGCGCGAACCACGCACACGCCCATCGACTCTAGTCGGATTAAGAAAGAGGACATTAGAATGAAAGTACAATCACATGTTTTCTTTGCCATCGCAGTTTTAATTTCTGACAAAATTGTCGCGCTATTTTTTCAGCCGCTCTTAGCCGCACCCGAGTTACCTGCTTTTTTCCTTCTTACTTTTCATTGGAAAGGCAGATCGATAAAGTACTGTTTTTTGTTCACTTCAACACTTTGTTCTTTTATTTGAGTTTTGGCGTTCTACAGCTGGTAGATTTAATTTTTTTGTTATTGTGACTATATTCTTCATTGTAATGATAAAATGAGATATGTTCCTAATGCATTTATAGCTATTTTTATTATCTTACTAAAAAAAACCACAATACAGCGATTTTTTTCTAACTTTTTTTTATTCACATTTTCAGGTGTTCACCACACTTGCTTTAGGTGTTTTTCCTTGCGAAGTGCGAACACAAGCCGGTGCTGCATTTACATTTGCTTTATTATAAATTTTCCTCGTCGTTTTTTCACGCGTTCAATGCATGAGTAGATGCTGAATGCGTAAGCGCATCCCGAATGCGTACGGCAAAGCAACCAAGCTGGTGTGTGAAGCATGCGTTTCACGCACCAGCTCTTACATGATAGCGGCCAGAACGTCTCACCTGCAGTCGCGCATGGTGAGGATCAAAACAGCACATGTGTAGCTAATCATTACGGTGTTTTGCGATTGGTTTTCGGTTGTTCCGATATAGTAATACTGCGAGCTCATTCACTGCCCATGTCTCGCGAACCGCACGCGTTTACAATACGTGTCATATTCTATAGAAAGAAGTGTTGTATGGAAACTCACCAAGGTATCCGATGATTTCCTTCGCGAGGATGTTCATCTCTAGGGTGGTAAGGCCTCCCAGGTTGTTGAGCATAACGGCCACGTGATCACCTGTTTGCACCGACGAAAAAATAGAAGCGGTGTTGCAGCATGCGATCTAGAATTGATCCACCCGCAAATGTTTGGACAAAGTGGTTTACTAAAAAGCGCAAAGTTCTTCATACATTACACCATGGGACACAGCGAAATGTGCGCTTTTAATTGTGACCACATACAGTTGCTTGGAAGTAAATATTCTGGAGGGTGGTCACAGTATTTCTCATGCTGTAAAACGAACCGGAAAAGTAGGCGCATGCACACAGAAAGCTCAAACTTCCACCGAATTTGTGCTTAGGCGGTGGATTTTACCCTGCGAAACTTCAAAAAGGAGTTCCCTTCTTCTAATAAATGAGACCAACAAACTTGTCAAAGTCAACCGCAGACGACCGAGTTAGCGATAAATGTAACTTGTGGCGCAAGCTCCCGTTAGGCGAAGCGAGAAGACGACGCACTCTGTCTTACGACACATTAGAGTTACGAGTGTGCCGTAACACCAATGCATTTTTTTTATTTCGGGAACAGAGTATAAGCTATAGTATACTTTAAAAAATCGAGTGATCTTTGTAACGTGCTTCCCCCTGCCCCCAGACGAAACAACAACAACAACAACAGAACGTTGCCAGGTATTTTAGGAAAAAGATTTTTTTTTAAATTATTATAATTTTTTTAATAATGATATTTTTATTTTGTACATATTTTAAGTATAAGTGATTGTGCCCGTCAAAGCCTGTGAGGCTTGTATTTCTAATATTGTATTCGGTTAGTGGTAGATTGATATGTAATTGAAATAGCTTTCTACCGTCTAATAATAATATAATTTAGTTAATAAAAAAGTTTGGGCTCCAATCCACGCTGTGAAGGTGATTGCATGGAGTTATTATAATGTACGTTAGATGTTCAACTGGCGCTAGTGTCTATGCGACGCAAATTGAAGCAGACTTTTGCGGTGCTCCTGAGCATTCCTATGGAAAAAAGCGCGTGCATTTCGTCTCTTCGCCGGAGTATAACGCGGAACACTTTGGTTATATGGGTCGTACCGAATCGTATACACATTGATCAACATTGTAGAAGTGTAATAGACCATTTGCTATATGCCCCAAGTGCCCCGGCCCGCGCTAAAAGAATCATCGAAACGGTATTCCTTCAACCCCTTTAGTGATCTGTAATTTCGACCTTATTCTTGGTTACACAGGTTTTGGGCGTAATTCGGAGTCACCCTGAACAAGCTCCTGATATACCTCAATGAGCTGTCATATCGCTTTTAAAATTTCTTTTCAATGTCACCGTTTTTGATACTGTGCATGCTGTCCACCCTTCAACCTGGATGGGCTGCAGAAATCTCTTACATTATTATCATGCTGATATTAAGTTAGAAACGCTAAAAATGCTATAAACAGCTTCGCAGACTCCGAGCTAAATCCTGGTTTTTGTTGTTGTGAACTATCGGGTTTTTAAGAAATTCTTGCTTAAACAACAATCACGAGAATGATAATATTGTAAGAGATTTCTGTAGCTCAGCCAGGTTGAAAGGTGGATTGCATGCGCAGTATCAAAAATGCTGACGTTGAGGAGCAATTTTAAAGGTGATATGACAGATCCTTGGGGTATATCAGGTGCTTGTTTAGGGTGACCTTGAATTACGGTAAAAAAAAAAACTGTAACCATGGAGTTGGTCGAAATTTAGCGATCGCTAGGGAGCTGAACGGACTCCGTTCCCGTGATTCCTTGAGTATGGGCCGGGGCACTTGGGAATACTGCAATTGGTCTATTGCTTTAGTTAGCGCATTTTTCTTCATGAGTGAACAATGTTTAACTTCACTACACTTCAGTCCCAAACGTGTGTTCTACAGCAGGTGTGTAAAACCAAGCGACGATTCAAAGAAAAATTACAATCGAAAGGAATATAGTGATTGTTCAACGCTCGCCAGCATTTCGGTGACACTTATATATTGAATATGCCAGTCCCGGTCATTATAATAAAATGATTCTGTCGTGCATGATCGCATAAAAACATTCAAAATATAAAGAATAAAGTACGTGGGCTATGAAAGGTGTCTCTTGGTATTGTTTTCTCTGCCGGGTAGCTCTTATCGGGCACTTGTTCTCAAAGATTTCGAGAGTACGGGTGATATTTTGAATGTAGAAGTTCGCACAAAGCAGAAAATATAAAGCGGTACTTAGTTATTTAAAATCGGAATATATTAAGGGGCCTCAATTTATTTTGTTTGTACATGCACGGGTAGTTATTGATCCAGTGTTACTGCGTAGTTCTTGCCATCTCCCTTGGTTTTCAGATGTCCTTCGTTTGCTTGGAACATATATCCCTCAGGCTGAAAAGCGCTAACGTCGTGTTCGCGCTATCAGTGTCCGACAGTGCACACAAATACACGTATGAAGGCGTTTTAGCACCGTTTTTAATGCGATGAATTTGAAAGAAAATGCCGCAACTGACCAATTATTTCATCAGCCTCACTGAGAAATGTTCCAAGCTACTTAGTACGTACAAAGTAATCGGGATATTTGCTCTTATGATCGAGCGCAGGGAGAAAATGCACTCAATTTTCCCATAGAAATGCATTACCAGAAGTCAGTTTTCGACTGGTTGCTGTTTGCTTCAGTTTGCTTCAATTTGCGTCAGCCCGCTAGCGCCCCTTGAACCACTAGCGTACATTATAATAACCCTGTGGGTGGTTGGACAGCGAAGTTGCGGTATCAACTGCGACGATTGCTACTGCACTACAGACCGTTTTTATGGCAAACGCCACCAGATGGTGCTCCAGTCTTTGACGTCCTAGAGACCTTCATGTTTATAAAAAGAATGAACGACGAGTTGCCATAGCAACAAGGCCACCTTAACACCGCTGCTTGAACTGTGGATGAAACGCTTACCACCAATTCTCCAGGTGAACGCCAAAAGAACGGAGTGCGATATTTGTTAAAATGTTTCGAGTATTTTTGTAAACCAGCTTGCCTCCTCCAAGATGTAATATTGTACGTAAAGCCGAAGGCCCTCGTTAAACCTCCAACTTTGTTGTCCGTGTAGCATTTATGCTTTCTACGATTCGTGACATAAGCAAGCTTGACAGGCTTGCAAAGACGGTGCGACCGGGAGTCGCATGGGGCGCAAGCGGCCGTTCATGTTTGTAAGCAATAAACGGTCTATACCAAATGGTTGACGAGAGAAAAGTAAATGCATTGTACCCAAACTTTTTACATATGAAAGGATAGTGGCGTCACTCCCCACGTCGCAAGCTGCCGTCTCCGCGACAACTTGCGGAACACTAATCTTTACCGCGAAACGTTTGCGGGGAGCGCTACGTGCTTCGCATTGTTATCAGGAGCGCCTTGCCATCAATTATGTGGTTCAAATGCTTGTTTTGTGCTTGTCCTTTATTGAAACGAATGCTGTGCTTTATGCTGTGTGCGTGACATGCACTTTTCGTCTCAATCGCTGGAAGTTTTTTTTTTTCCGTGAGGACGCCCACACGAAAAAATCCCACCTGCGAGTCATATACAGATTCGCTGTAAAACAAGTAACTTGAGACATATCAGTTCAGCCCGCAGGACTCTCGCGAGGCGCTTTGTGACTGGCGTCACGCCCATAACAAAAAACAAAAAAAAAAAAAGTTCAGCCCTTTTACTTTTATGAATAAGGAAGACCAGCGGAGCTGTACTCGATACGCTGCCGCGACGCGCACGCGCCCGACTCCCGCTTCTTCTCGTCCGACACGCCGCCTATCGTGGATGCGTCTCCGGCGAACCAGAGTCGGTCGCACACGGCGCACGTGACGCCAAACGGATAATTCACGAACTTGCTCCGGAATTTCGCCGCCGCACCCGGGAACTGTTCCACGACCGTCGTCCGTGACATTGGCCCGCCGGCTCCCTTTACATCGCTGGTTCTGTCCTCGGCGGCGGCTTTCCGGGCGAGCTATGTGCTCTTTGGCACGGGAATCTGAACCGCTGGACGCAGTGGAAGTCGAGGCGACAGCGGCTTTGCGGCGGTTTTGGACCCATTCGCGCTGCTGCGTACGTCGCCGCTCCTTCCGTAGCCAGTCTCCTTTCCCCGAGAGGGCGCGCGGCCAACCCATTGTGAGTTCAAACCGAAACTGATAAGAGTGTAGGAGCGAGGAAACAGCGCGCAAAACAGATGAGGACGAAGAAACAAACGTGACGGGCGCCGCGCTCGTTACGTGTGTTTCTTCTTCGTCATCGTCTGTTTTTCGCGCTGTTTCCTACGATAAATTCCCACGAAAGCGCCCAACTATCAATTCTTCTATGATAGCTGGAAAGGTTGCCGCCATCTGCGAGCGACGGCGGAAACCAGACTGGTTGTGTGCTTGCCGCTATCACTTATAGACGGCGGTAGCTGTCCAGGTAGGTTTGTGTCGACATACCGGACACGATCCTGGGGAACCTAGCCTTTAACAGCTCCGCTATAAAAAATGCGACCTTGTGCGGACCTTTTTTGAGCGGAAGAGAGTGGTCGGACGTCTCGCAGCATAAGTGGTCCATCAGCTGTTGCGCGGTCTCCGAGGCCGACAGAATCTGCACATCGAAAAACGGGCCCATAGTTTCCTCGCCGGCTTGGAGGATATATTCCATACATCAGCTACCGCCTACCGGCTTCCATGCAATCTCTACAGTTGTTTACAAACAAGTCAACATTGACGACACAATGTGTGGGCACCGCGCATGCGCAGAAACCAGGTTAGCGTAAATTGAAGAGCCGCAGCGACAGCAGCGCCACCGAAGCGTTGGCGTATACGGGACAAAAAGCCCCGAGTCTCAGCTTACGAACAAACGAGACGAGTTGCTTTCAACCTCTTTTTTTTTTTTTTTATGAAAAGAAAATTATGACAGAGCTTTTAAACAAAAATGTTACTGAATTTCTTTAATTTTTTTTCTCTCGAATTTTGAATGTTCGCTTAAAATGAACAAATTTAGTCACGCAGATTTTGTCTTCTAAGAAATAATTCTTTTTATTTTTTATTTAAAACTCTGTGTAATTATAAAATAAAAAAAAAATCAAGTTAAGTTTACGTGGAAATAACGTCGGACTGAAGAATACTATCACTATTATTCTGATTTTGTGGATGTCTTTCATCGGTTATCCCCGCCCCCCCCCCCCTTCCCCTTCTTCCTGCCATCATGCCGCCCCCAAAATTTGAAAGTTACGGAGAAAAAGAAAATCATGCTGAAAGATGTGCTTGTGTCGTGCCACGTAGTTTCTTTTTTTCCCCTAACAAACACACTGAGAAATAGACACACATCATTAGAAGCACAAACATACAATCAAGAATACTCCCAGCCCAATGCTACTTGAGTGACGTCTTATGCAATATAGAGACGGAGATTTCCTTCTGTCAATTTACCTTATATTCGATTTTCGTTGAACATTAAACGGTGAAACCATAGATGGGTGAATGCTTTTGCAATATATGAAGACCAGCATCGTATTTGGGATCCTCTTCCCCCCCCCCCCCCCCCTCCCCAAATGAGACCGATAGCTACGTAGAGGAGCAGTACAACAGTTCACACAAATCGGCGTATTCAAGTAACGTCAGTTGGTAAACCTATTGTAGGCGCGCTTTTTGGAACTGAATCCAGTGTCCTTCACGAGTCGACTGCAGTGTCATCCTTTCTGCGCGCCGTGATTACTCTGTGCAAAGAAAGGGGGGGGGGGGGGGGGTGTCGTACCTCGTTGAAAGTTTGCTAACAGAGCTGAGTTGGAGTGACAGTGACAGAAACAAACTTATTTTCGAACTCACAGGAACTCTCGCCGCGCCAGCCTCCCCGTGGACCCCTGAAAAACGAAGCACACGAGCAAAGAGATCAGCCATTTAGGAAGCAGTAGCGAATATTCCAGTCCATCATCATCATTCCTGTAATAAACAAGATCCACGTCATCACCAGTATACCACGTCATCACCTGCTATGAACTAGCGCCAACATAATGATTGCAGTAGAGGCGCTCTAGCCCCTGCACATGCTCGTTGATTGCGGCGCAATTGATTGGCTTTAAGTGGCTTTATAATCCGGTTCTCAACACATACCCATTCCAAGCTCCATCTTGTCTCGGGGAAGGTTGAACAGGAGTTCCTCTTTGCCTGGTATGCTGCACGGGGTCAAGGCAACGGTGATGGTTCCTGCGATCCGGGCACGTGAACTCATCGAAGCTCGTCTTTCACGCAGATTGAACATGTTAACACCCATGGAGTGGCTATTGCTTTAACATCATCCCTAATATGGCAGGGAAAAAAATTCTAGAGACATTTTGTGAAAACAAAAACAAAGCATGCGAGTAAGATGGTAGAAATTAAACAGTGTGAAATGTACCCTGGATTGAAGTTGCTCAGAGGACAACGCAAACACGTGTACATCTATGTGTTTATGTTGATTCTTAAGTTGCCTCAGTCGTCGTGAGTTAAGCATTAAATGGAAACGGCTACTGCACTCCTTATTCAAAATATAAGCACGGAGATATGATTCTTGCGTATTTTTTAACTTTGGCCTTTTTTTTTTTTTATAAATATAAAACGAAGTTTTTTGAGCTACGCTTTCCGAGGTCTTCCTCACCCATATCTTTCTTTCTCTCTTCAATGAATGTCTTTATTTCTTTGAGAGACTTCATCTCATCCGCCATGGCTCCTGCAACCTGTGAAATCAAACACACACACACAAAAAAAGAAACACGAGGTTTTACAGAAACACACTTGTCAATAGAAATAATTATGAACAAGCAGGTAAGCTGGTAAATGTTCAGCATTATAAAAACCCCAAAAGCTGGAACAAAACAGGACAAGCCAGATAACGGTTTCGAATTCACTTGTGCCCCGCACATAAGGTGCGAGAAGCCCTCGAGGTCGACAAGGGATCATCATGTTTGAGAATACGGAAGTACACAATAAATAGAAATGGAAGCAGGAGAGCATGTTGATTAAAATTTTTCTTTTGGTTTATTGAACTCAAGGGCCAACAACAAATATATGCTTGCCCGTCGTTGCCTCTTCGTGTTAAAAAAAAAATAAAAAAAATAAATAAATAGGGAGTTTTAGTAAATCATCTCGATAACTCCGACAACGATATCCAGTATTCCTCCAGTACTCTCACGCATGCACGACATCGTTATCGGGTATTGTTATCGGATTTATCAGAATGTCATATCATAGGAGGCAATGGCTCCACCAAAACTCCTCAATATCGCTCGCTATTTGATATACTAAATTTACGAGTTTTACTCGTTTTTTTTTTTAGATCTTCTTTTCACACTGTCGTTGATAAGTTTGTATATAACAGTACAACTGGTGGAGCCGACAAACTGAAATGATATCGGTCGTAAATGACACTGAATGTCCAAAAGGTACAACCTCGTAAATACCGGACGCCTGACCTTGACATTGAATTGCCGCGGCTTGTGCAGCCCGCTCCATTCACGGTCTAGCAGCTAAGTGGTCAGTGTCAGGACCACCGTTAGCGCAACCATCTGGCCTTTGCGAAAGGCATGGCTGCAGAAGACGCGGATCGCAGGTTTGATCCCTTCCGCTGCCCATTTCAATCTGGGTGAACATTGAATCAACAATTGCATCAGATAAAGCATTATTATTACTATTTTTATTATTATTGTACCGGCGTGCTGTCGTATATAACTACTGCGTGATGCGCGTTAAAGGCCCCAGGCTAGGGGTCACACTGCACTAGTTAAATCTCAGTTACAGCGGAGCCATCTGACGCCCTTTAGGACCGAATAACTTTTTGCGGTCTAAGCTTCTATACAACAAATAACTTGCTCACCATAGAACGCTATTGTTTTAGAGCGCAGCTCTTAGGCTCCCGTTTCCGGCTTGAGCGGCGTCGCCGTCGCCGTCGGTGTAACCGGGCGTTGCATTATGGGACGTTTCCTATAACGACGTCACACGTGACGTCACGTGTGTCGTCACGAGGGTCGCGAGTGACGTCACGCGGTAGGAGCAGTAGGAGAAGGGAATTTTTTGCGCTAAATTTAGAGAAAACGTTTCCCCACTAAATTTTGCGGAAAAACTTCCCAGCTAAATTCAGCGGAAAAATTTCTCCGCTAAATTTTGCGGAAAAATTTCTCCACTAAATTTAGCGAAAATATTTTTCTGCGAAATTTACCGAAAAAAATTACCGTTAAATTTAGCGGGAAATTTTTAGGAAAAATTTCTCCGCTAAATTCAGCGGGAAAATTTCCCCGCTAAATTTAGCGGAAAATGTAGTGAACATTTCCCGCCAAATGGGAGAGGAGCAGGAGAGGAGGAGGGGTGGGGTCCTTCCCTCCGTTCCCTCCCCTCCTCCTCCAAGAGCTGCGCTCTAATTCGGCATTATTGAGAGTTGTACGTGTCTTTCATGTTTTTCCTACACAGGGTATCTAATATTAATGCTCATGATATGTGCCGAAGTTTTGTTACCCTTTCCCTCCGAGGGCTTGGTATTGCAGAAAGAAAAAAGACAAGAAAATTATTAATGTCGATGAACCCAGTGTAGCTGGTATGCGTTGTCGGAGCGCCATCCTAGAAACAACTTTGAAAGATTGCGTACCGTATAACCTCTCCGGCGATCGCCACCCCGGTGAATTTTCTTAACATTCTGTAATGCTGATTGTTCTCAGGTCTGTCTTTTTCTTTGCCTCCTATTATTTTTCTTATGAGTTCCGGAAGACCCGCTCGTGCTTTCTTCTCCGAGTTCTTTAAGTTTCAGTGGTGTCAAAGTGACATAAATGGCTTCAAGACTACTCCAAGCCACTTGCCTTTCCCTGCTACGACTGACATTCTTACGGTGTCTTACCTTCATCATGAAGACGGCTCCGCAAAGTCCCCTTCTTCCCGTCGATGGGAAAGTGTGCGGGAGGGCCGTGTCTTCAGCAATGAGCACCATGTCGACTTGGATGCCCTCTGCCCGAGCTTTTTCGATGGCGATGCCGAATGTCAGCCGATCGCCCGTATAGTTGCACACGAAGGTCAGGACGCCAGCTGCCCCCAAGTACAGAACACACATTATGACTTTGAGACCAAAAGCGGCATTTGGCTAAACCATCCCAGGCGAAAAACACTCCACTTCCAGCTGGATTATGGAACTGGAAATGAGGCAGTCCAGCTGGATTCCAACTGGACCCAGCTGGACCCAGCTAGAATCCAGCTGGACTGCCTCATTTCCAGTTCCATAATCCAGCTGGAAGTGGACTGATTTTCGCCTGGGATGCGCTGTCTGAGAGTGCACATTGCAACAGTGTTTAAAGGCCGACCTTCAAATTCGTCTTCTGCCGGACAAGAAACTGGTTCACAGTTTCCTCTTCTCTATTTCCTTCTTGCACTTCCCTCTCATCCTTTCCCCGTTGGAGCAGGTCTCTGAGCAAAACCCCGCTGAAAGGGGGAGGGCAACCATTTTTCTCGAGTGGAAAGGAGAAATTAAGGGAGAGTTTTCTTCTTTCTGGCTGCTCAAGCCTTTAAGACATTTTTGTCTATGTCTATTTTGCTAGTCATAGAAGTAGACCCTTTATGAATGCAGGGCAGTTGTGGTAACCTTTCTGCTGTGGGCATACCTTCTGCAGCCAACATTTCGCACCAACGAATTTGTTTTTGCCGGCAAGAACAAGCAGAAATAACTGCCACCATGATGCGATGACGTCACCTGCAAGCAACGTAGAATGTGCTCTGATCATGTATAGAGTTTTTCACGGGAGGCCATAGTGTTGGTCGTTGTTCGCAGCGCATGCTCAGATACAGCTCCCATTCATCTTCTATCAGGAACAAATACCTTGATTGCGAGGAATGCACGAATGTGAACGTTGAACTGTTTGTGGCAGTCGGGGATTATGCTGGAAAAATAGGAGCGAGGCGTCGGTGGGGGGACGAAGACAAAGAGCCTTGTGGCCGACTTTGGGTAGATTGCGAGCACAGTTAAGAAGTCACTTGGAGCAAGAACTGTTTACTTTGGGTGAGGAGATGTTTTTAAGAAGATGGTCGTGCCAATTTGTACAAGTGATGAGCGGCCACGTGGCTCTCAAGTTCCCACCGTTACATTTTGTATAAAATTCGGGTTTTGAGATCGGGAATGCTTTGTCCGTTGCCCGAAATGTGATCCTTGTATAAGCGTTAGGCTTTGAGTCTAGGAATGGAGTGTAGGTTGCCCGGACTGGGACGTGTTGCCAACGAAGGGGCGCTTGATGTGATTTGTGTGTCGCGGTAAACGCGACACACAAATCACATTGTGTGTCGCGGTGGACTGTACACACGGTCGCGGCACGACCGTGTGTACAGTCCTCCTGTACACACGGTTGTGCCGTGAGTGCCAACGACGTAAGAAGCCTCCGACGAAGCCAGCAGGACTCCTGCAGCGATACCTGCACCGAGTACGCCCTTCCAGCAGGTCGGAATGGATTTACTTGGGCCGTTCCCGACATCGACGCAAGGAAATTGGTGGATTATCGTCGCGACCGATTATGATACGCCGAGACGAAAGCTCTGCCATCGGGAACAGCGGTAAAATTCGCGAAGTTTTTTGTCCACTCTATTTTACTTCGACACGGCGCACCTGAACTGCTGATCACAGATCGCGGGTCATCTTTCATGGCACACCTGACTCAAGAAGTTCTTCGGCTCAGTCATACGAGCCATCGACGAACAACCGCTTATCATCCACGGACCAATGGGCTTACGGAGCGGCTGAACAAGACGATCGCCGACATGATATCCATGTACGTCGACGTAGAGCACAAAACATGGGACGAGGTGCTGCCGTACGTCACGTTTGCGAACCACACAGTGGTGCAAGAAACCACGGGAATGACACCGTTCCAACTGGTACACGGCCGTACGGTATACCACAATGCTCGTCGCCATACTGCCTCACGTGCCGGCCGACGATGGAAACGACGATGCTCAACTGATCTCGCAACGCGCGGAAGAAGCTCGCCAACTGGCAAGAATCAAAATTCATGACCAACAGCGAGTCGACGCACGCCGCTATAACCTTCGTTGCCGGGACGTCCACTTTCAACCCGGAGACCGGGTGTGGGTGTGGACACCGATCCGCCGCCGTGGTCTCAGCGAAAAACTACTGAAGCGCTACTTTGGACCGTACGAAGTGCTTCGTTGACTCGGGGATCTGAACTACGAGGTGATGCCCGAGGGAACACGGACTTCATCGCCGCCCTCCACGACCAGAAGTCTTCCACGTCGTGCGCATGAAGCCGTACTACGCTCGATAGGACTGTGGACCTTATGTGTTCGAAATGACTTTAGTTTACCGTTATTTCTGTTTGCTTTGTTTTGTTTTGTGCTACATCAGGGCGATGCACTTTTTAAAGGGGAGAGTAATGCCGCGCGCGCAACTGGCCAAGTAGGCAGCGCGTGCGTGGCCTAACGGTTATCGTGCACGCGAAAATCCAGGGTTCGATTCCTGGGAGCGACGTGTATTTTGTTTATTCCTGCTATTTAGTGTTCTGGAAAATTCGCGAATCCTGTTGCTTGTTCGAGGTCCGAATGTTCTACGCGTCGAACTTTCTACGCCGATCATTCCAGAAGCCCACGCGTGTACATAAGGGGTTTCGCGTGGTGAGCCAAAGTCAGTCTCGCCCCAGCGCTGGATCCTGCGGTTTCACCGACATCGACGCCCGCGACGCTCTCCTGCTTTCTTCTGTTTGCTTTTTCTTTTATTAATTTGGGCACAAGTGTGCCCCATTAAACGTTTATTTTACTTCAGTTTTCATCGCCTCATCATCTGTCATTCGTGACAGTATTGGAGAGTATGTAGTACGGCGAATGGCAACGCGGGGTGCTGGGAGTCTACCAACCCCTCTGTGCGGAGCAGGGACGAACTGAAGTGATGTGAAAGTGTCTTGGTGAATTACGTGGCTTATGTTGGCGAAATAAAATTTTTCAATCATGAGCCAGTCACCTTGTGAGGTTTTGTCATCTGTATGTCGGTATTTGTTTGTGTCCGACTAGCAGGTGGGAAGGTAATGGCGCTACTTTCTGAGATCCAGTGACTTTAGACATAAGTAGTCCTGGGCGTCCTTCAGACATTGTCTGTGACGTCATAAGTTCACGCGAGTCTCTTTCGCGCGGTCTTCTATGTCGACGTGCTTGCTATGTGCTTATCAGGGCTTACCTTTATTGTTGGCGCCAACGGTCCTCAGGGTAGCCAGGATGTTGTCTGAAAATGGCGATGTGTAGATGGGACCTGCCACCGCCGCCGTCAGAAATCCCTCTCCTATAAATCCTGTAAACACATTTTGTCATCAACTGACATTCTACATTGCATACGTGCCTCCATATTCATGTTTGCTTTATCTTGCAATAGCAAGGGCACGTGAACGCAAGTGACGCAGCCTCAGACGATATCGTTTTGCTTTGTCGCGAACCGGTGTTACATTTCTGGATGCCAGAAAAGCCGTCTCTTGAGATCGCAAAAAACAAGGTCAAAATAACTGGAAAGAATGATTTAAAGCTTCAAAATGGCTCAATAGTATTAATCGGATGCGTAGCTTACGGGGAGTCCTTCTGGTGGATTTGAAGTGGTTTTGAAGTGACCTTTGTTGATTCCATGCGCGTGCAAGCGCGAACTAGTCATGAAGAGCTTTTGGATCGCTCCAAATCAGACGCTCCAAATCCATAAATTGAATTCCCCCATTATTTAGTGCGTCTGATCCAGTGTTGTAGACATTATAAAAAAAAAAGTAACAAAATACGTTACTCGTTACTTGCAAAATAATCGGACCCGTTACCGACCTACGTGGCACCAACATAGGGACTTTTAGGGAACCGTTTTTGGACATCCGATACCGTATGATAGGCCCTCCGGTATGAACTGCGCATGCGCAGTTCGTACCGGGGGCCCATCGTTCCGTTTCGGACGTGCAAACACGGTTCCCTAAAACTCTCTGATCAAAGAAACGCGTCACCGTTACGATTTCCGATAAAAAGTAACGCACGTTACCCCTGCGTTACTTTTTATTTATAAATTGACGGTAACAGTCGCTTTTTCGGCGACAGCGTTTTCCAACACTGAGACCAAAGGCGCGATGCGCTGGGGTTTTTCTGAGTGGAAATTTTTTGCGGAGGCAAAAGACATTTTCATTTTCTAAGTGAGAACTAAAATGAATAAAAATAAAAGTTTTCTCTCTACCAGCCCCACCAAACGGTATAACCTATTTAAACCGATTAGAAACATATAAATAGCGTCTGATATGACCAAAAAGGAAATTTTGATTTAAAATGCCAATTAATAAAGAAAAATAGGGCGGCAGCGAAACTAAATCGGGTATACGGGCTATTGTTTCGTCACCAGGCTTGTAACGAGCATAAATAGTTAAAATATTGTCCTTTTAGTTCTGTGCCTCTGGTCTTGTGTCTTGGTTCAGACGACGACGACGAGGTTTCCTCACTGGTTTCTTTGGCTTGGGTCATTTTTTTTTAATCTGGGATATAATAAGAGACAAATTAATATTATTGGGTTTATTAAAGTATAAATCTTTGTTTATTTTATTACTTTAGCTTTAATTTAGATTACTGTTCCAAACTGTTTGGGACCAATCAAGGAGCGTCAAAAGCGCAAGTCCCTGGGCATTTTTTTTATGATTGGTTCAGCGCTGATAGAACACGTACAGAAACACGGCGAACATGAACACCACGATGGTGCATTTTTGATGCTGTCTGACTGATCCCATCAGCTCGTAGCGTCGGCTGCGCCTGGACTTAAGAAAACACAAACTATAGAAAAAAAAATTAAGTGTACTTTTTTTTCAGGTCTTGGGAAGAAGGTGTAACGAGTAGCGTAACTACGTTATCGTTACTTGAAATAAGTAACGTAAGCACGTTACCTTATTGATTTCAAAAACCTAACGAGTGCGTTACAACCTTACTGACAAAGTAACGCGTCCCCAGTATCGCCGTTACTTGTAACGCGTCACCCCCAACACTGGACTCTGATCCCACCATCGGAGCGTATACCGACCTGAGAACCCCGGCTCGTGTCCGGAGCCTCCTCCTGCCACCAGGGTGACCTTGCCTCCCAGCTGCTCCAAGTCGTGCCTGACGACGGCGCCGCACTGGCGAAGCAGCCGGACGCCAGGGTTGACCGCCACAAAGCCCTGAAGGCTGTCCTGGACGCAGTTCTCCGGAGAGTTGATGAACTTGTGGCGGGCCAACGGAACGTCCCGCGGCGTCTTGAATTCTTCGCGCGGCATTCTCTGGTCAGAATAGGCGGTCAGAGCAATGTTGGTTAGAGCACTCTTTGACGTCACAGCGTTCCACTGCGATCGGCTTCCCGAACGTCTTCTTCATCCTTTTTTGAAAAGATGCACGAGTGCTCTTCTGCAACATTTGGCAAGAACAGACCATCGTGCGCTCTGTGGGGAAGGAAATGCTTGCGCACGTGACACTGAGGTAACTTTGTCAAGCTTCGTAAGAATAATAGCCCGATTTCACTAAGCGTTCGGCACATGCGTGACGCCGCCATAACTTTAGTTCACAGGAGGCCGACGACCGTGCACGCAAAGGCTTGTGCCTTCTCCTTTTTTTACACGCACAGAGCTCAAGTGAGGTTGTCGTACGTGCAAAAAGATTATAAAGTTCCCTCAATGCATTGCGGCAGCGGGGGCGAAGTCAAACTGGCCGGTGAGATCAGTTTATTGTTTTTGTGTCAATGTTTATACAGGCCTTAATCGGCGTCTGGTGTCTCAGCTGTAGATGAGAAATTTAGCCAGGGCAGTACAACCGCTAGCCTGGGGTCTTTAACGCGCACCACGCAGTGGTGATACACGACCGCATGCCGGAACGACGTTCATCCAAATCTAAACGGGCAGGGGTGAGGTTTGTCCCCCAGGATCCCCAAGTTCTGCAGTGCGAGATTTTGCTCCACGTGCCCTCTCGCAGTGACAACGCGGTACAACGCTCTCAATATCAAACCACCAAGCGCCGCTACAGCTTACCGAATTATCTACACTCATGACCACTAAAATTCTACCGAAACCGAACGTTCACTGTTGACGTCATCCCCGTTTCTAGAGAAATCGTATGGCGGGAAGGCCGTTTTGGTTTCGTTGATTTATTTTATAGGAAATAATAAGTTTCATAGAACTGAATAAAAAGACGGCATATTGCCGGGTCCCTAGGGAGTAGAAAAACATATTCTAAAAAAAGTTAAAAATCGCTTTCGCGGTCTTCAAAGTTGACAGTATGGCATCCTCATTATTTCCATGATTGAAAGTAAAATTTATGCTACCCAAGACGCCGTAGTGAATGTTTGGTGGCCTGAGTGGAACAGACGACACCCTTTTCGAAAGCATTCATCAGCATGCAAGAACGAGAAGGCGGTAATTATTGCGTGAGCACGTGTCATTCCAAGCTTGCCAAACGCCCCAGTGCGAGTATGGTGCACGTTCCTGCTCACATCGGGCATTATTTATGTCAACGTCACATCAGTGGTGGCCTTGCTGTGAAGTGCGTAACCTTCTGCAGTGTACATTTTGCACCATAGAAATATTTTTTTCACAAAAAAAGTATGAATGACTTTGCAGCATAATGCCGTGACGTCACGCAGGAGTTACTGAAGGAAGGCGAGAGAAAGTGACACTTTATTTTAATTAATTTGTTACTCTGTTACGCCCCCCCTTCTTCTAATGGAAGGTATGTATGTGTCATATAAACGAACACGTATAAATACGAACACATCTATACTTGAATTCATTGAAGAAGAACAATTTATCCAATAAACAACAACAAAATAATTTATGTGTTGTTCGAGTTCTTACAAAATTCGGTGGCAAGAGAAAAACAAATGGCGCTTTTTGAGCTCGAAACGTGTAATATTTGACAAAATAACTAAACAAATGTCTCAAATGGACATGCAAGTAATTCGCCGCATGAAAAGGGATAGCGGCGCTCCGCTCGGAGCCAATCTATATAGTCCGGTTCTTAAGGTGAATTAAGATGAGTGTAGGACAAAACACAAACACCAAATATACAATAAAAGTAGCCGAACAAGCCACGCATTCCGAGCTATTACCGGCTCCCACAAATAAAGATTTCGATTTCTTTTTTCCTTTTGTTTTGTACCTAGACATTTGAGATATTGATTTTTTTTCCAAGTACCTCGAAGCATTTAATGTGTCCGACCACTCAAAGCATTTAAACGTTCGACAAGCTCGACGAGCCGCTATCAGATCCCACTCCACAACGAGGCGTTTCTCGTGTCTCGACCAAGCCGTGTCGACGACAAGGAATATAAGCGTCAGAGGCCGTGTTTCGAAATTTACTCGATCTTTCTCCAGGGTAAGGGTTTTGTACCCTTGGCGTTCTAAAACCTACCCGCGTCCAGCGTTTTTCAATCTGTGCTGTCACGTGAGACGATCCGCCGGAGTAACTCGGATCCATTTGGGTAAGATATGGAACACAGCCACAGTTACTCTACTCGCGGAGGTCGATCAGTATCACCAGGAAGCCGTGGTCAAACTGCTAATACATAAAAAAAAATTCAGACGTGTTTGAAGAATACATATTTATGAAGCAAACATCCTTCGAAGATGCCAGGGGTAATTCTGATGTCATGTCTGCAGCGACACTGCGTCTTTCGTAAAATGTACGAGCGTAGATTCACTCAGCATTGGCCGTTGCGATGCTCACCTCAGGTCGAACTCCCGGCGACGTTTTAAGCCGTGCGAGGCTTCGCCGTTGACGAACGTGCCGCGGGCTGCCGCCTGACCTCGACGCTGTCGTGCGTTCACGCTGAATAAACAGACGACGCCGCCCTTGATAGCAGGCGACGTTCCCGCCCCCTTTCGGAGGTCCGTTTATCTGAGCGATCACGTGACGTCCATGTTCTGGGATGGAGGTCGGCTTCGACTAGATTCAAGAGAGGAAGCAACTAAAGAAAAGAGCGTTTGCAGTTTAATGGCGGACGCATCCTGCGTAGATTGGCCGCAGTTGCGCATGCGTGGCTTCGTCGTCGCGTGGAGAGGACGCAAGCAGGTGGGTAGGCGTAGACCGGAGAAGACGAAATTACTTTCAAAAAGTAATTGAATTACATTACTAGTTACTTTTCCGAAAATGGCGAAAATGTAATTAAATTACAATACAAGTTACCGCATACTACAAGCAATGACATTACTTAATAATTACGTATGAAAAGTATTGCTATTACTTTGACGTTACTTCTTAGTTCCTTTACGTAGTAATTCGTGCACATTTTATTTACGCTATGTATACAATCACGCGGACCTTTCCTGTTTCTAACGCTACAGCCGCACGCGGCTGCGAGTGAGCCATACCGAACGGTCAGCCGTATTCCACGTACGAACCTTTGCTTTCAGTTAAGTTTGATCTGATGTTTCTTCCTCGCTTTCTTTCTGTCTCTCTTCCTCTCGGGTTTCACGAAATTTCACTGAGCTGAATAATTTGCCTACTTTTTTTCTTAATGCTCGCAAATGAACCGTGTCTAATTTGGGACAAAAAAAAATGTGAAAAGTAACACTTAATTTTTTCGAAATTACTTCTGAAAGTAACTAAATCGGTTACTAAATTGCCAAGCGTAGAAAAGTAAATAATTACCCTACTTACTACCACAAAAAATAAATTTCGTTACAGCAATGTCACTACTGCCACCCCTGGCGGAGACACATGCAGGCGAACACGGCTTCCGTTACCTCCTCGCAGCCCTAAATGCAAACGCGGCCCATGAGCCACGTAGCCCCGTTCGAGTAGTGGGAACCACTCTGTAATCTAGGCACACGGGTGGATGGACGGATGAATGTCAAGGGCTATTCTCAATTTGTAACGGGCGGTAGCGTGCGCCACTTTGCCAAAGCCTAAAAAGACAAACATATGATTCCCCGGACACTTTAATCTAATTTTTCCCCCTACCACCCCCGCCTCTCTCCCCCCCCCCCCTTCCCCCCGCTGATGATGATGATGATGATGGCGTGCTATGTAGAGGAATATCGACGTGTTGCCGGCTGCGCTCAAAAGGCGATGGTTTGATTCTGAGTTCAAGTTTATTACTTAAATGACGGCGGTACATTTATGCCTGTAGGAGCAGAACGACGCATGCTGCAGGATAAGAATACAAATAAGAAAACCGAAGACCATGAAATTTATTTTGAATATGTATTTGACTGGTCCAAGGGTCACAATATAGGTCAAAAAGTTGAAGCATGATATTAAAGGGTATGAAAAAAATGTTTCATCTTGTAGTACATCAATATATTTCTTTGTAGTCAAAGAATCTCAGTGAGCGTTTAAAAAAACGGTACGAACGTGTCACTTTTTCATTTTAAAAATAGAATGAGCTGTAATATAAAACAGTAGAATATAAGACTACTGAAATGTACATTCTAGAGAAACTTTAGCATGCCACGTCCATTCGTCATCCTACTGTAAAAATTATAGCACGAAATGTCGTGAAACCATAAAAAGTAGTCCAGGAAACCGTGAAAAATGCTTAAGTAATTGTTCTAAATTACTCGCGAGTGTCCTAACTTTTAACTGCACGTAAAAAATGCTTTATGAAAAAAAAGAAGAAAAAGCAAGCAAGCACGATAGCTCGTATTGACAGTGCCAGAGCCGGCAGTTACATCGAAATTGGCGTATTATGGGCTAGTGTCCACGAAGCATTTGCCATGTATATCTCTGTGTGTTCTTGGACGCTTTCTGTTTCCCCACTTTTATGTATTATTGCAGCGAATACCCGCGCCGTCAACAGTTGACATATGTGTGATGTGCAGTGAACAAACCAGCGTAAAGTTTCAAGAACAATCATGTTTAATGTTTGCACGGTTCTCTAATTTTGCATTTTTTTCGTAATGTAACGAATAATAGCTGCGTCGTCATGCTTGTTTCATCTGAGCGATTTATAAATGTAAACAATATAATGATTGTTCATTTTCAGAATTTAAAACTTTTCGAGCCTGCTGACCCTTTCAATATGTTGTTTAGCATTTTGCAAATGGGCTATTGATAACATTCGTAACGCTGTTACAAAGAAATGGACGTTCAACTATCGAACCCACTGCGGAAGATGAGGTAGTCTGCTCGCAGACTGGTGGCAACAGAAAACCCAGCTCTTTCGGCGAAATTAGTCTCGAATAGAAATTTAGACAAGGGTTACGGGCGGTCGTTAAAACTGGGCACAACGCCGAAGACCGCCTCCGCTGTCGTGTCACCGCAAGGATCGCGGCAGGAAACATCATGACATTTTTGTGACGTCATCATGCGGAAATCAAGAAGATGCTACATGCTCCCACTGAGTCATTTCTTATTTCAACAATATTATAGGCTTAGGTGGACGTCGGCCGGCTCCCACAACAAGGTCAACGCTTGCACGCGGCGACGCATCAACGGTCGCGTCTGCCGCTTTGCGTCGACTCTCGTCGATGTTCAGCGTGTTGGCCGCTTGCGGCGGGGGTTACACTAACGATGATGTCGTGCGCAGGACTTGTGTTCTGGATACGGATGTCGGGAACTTTTGTCGAACAGGAGTTTTAGGTCGAACTTTCGGGGTTCGACTGGGTCGAACCGGTCGACGAACCTTCGAACTTTTCACCAGTTTCGACCGGTTCGACTTTGTGAACAGTGTGGCCAGACCTTGATACAAGCATGTTTAGGTTTGAAGAATTCTTTTTATGCAAAGGTTTATTTTATTTTATGAACAGTTGCAATTAAAAGGAGACAATTGTAATCGCTGAAAAACTTATTAACTTTTTTTACTGCATTAACTTAAATAACCAATCAGCGCTGCCCTTGATTCATCTCTTTGCCATCTCCATCCAATCCAAAGCCAATTGGTCAGTTTGTCGTGTATGCGCACACGAGTTGAACCTCAATACAAGGTTCGTCGAACTTTCCACTAAAAGGTCGAAAAAGTCGAACCTGCTCGAACTCGAATCTCAGCAGGTTCGCGACACTCCTAGTTCTAGGTGCTATTAAATTGACACGTGGGTGCCACGCTTTCAGAAAGAAGCGAGAACTTTGTTCAAACGACACAGTTTAGTACTTCATGATATAGGAATTTTTTTTCTAGCTATGACACACCCGAAAACGTTTACCATTTTAAGACCACCTGAGAAACACGACGACGTCGTCGTGTTTCTTTCACCCAGTCTCAGGTGGTCTAAAAAATGGTAAACTTACACCAGCTCGACTGCGCCCTAACTGTTTTTTTCCGAAAATGTTGTTTGAGTTTGTCTAAGGCTTTAAACATAAAATGCCAAAGGTGCAGCTTTGCCAAGTATTCAGAAAATTACCTAATTCACGGAGGTCCCTTTACTTTTTTTTTATTTCTCTAGAAGGCATCTATGGTTAATAATAATAATAATGTATTTTATTTCCCATTCTGGTTGGTACAAAAAGGGAGAACATCAGGACAAAAAGCTGCAGTTGCAGCTTGACGAGGTCCTGGCGCCCTAACACACTTTGGCGGGAAAGCAGCATTGGAAACACAACGAAAACAAACACGAAAATGGGTACTAAAACACACACAAAACAAGTGTTCGCTAAGAAACATCGTTTTCTGTTTTGATCTTCCGTGTAGCCTTGCCTATTTATTTTCGTAGCATCCCTAAACGTACTCTGTCGTGCAGGTTCGAGTCCTGTTCAGCCTAGATGATCAGGTAAAGAAAGGTACCTATATATTTACTTCTCTTTCGTGTTCGCTTTCGCTTTCGCCCCAGACAACTGGATGGCCATGAGGAGAGACGCACAACCTAATACTTAGTGAGACAAAGGCGAGCTGATGACACCTTTACCATGGGTGTACGCCGAAAAATATGCGGTTTATTTGAGAAACAAAGCAGCCAAGGAAGTTACTCGAAGATGGTGCTGTCTCGTGAACATTGCAGTCTGCCGATAATATTTAATATACTCAATGACAGGTTAAAAACAACAACAACAACAACGCAGGGCGTGGTTTAATATGTTAACGCGCTTCGCGAATCGCTCTTTGGCGTTCCCATTGACTTCGGCTGCAGTCGCCCTTCTTCTACATCATTCAAAATACACAGTGTTCTCTGCAGACATGATGAGAAAACTATCTGCGGACATGCCTCAAGCATAGTTCCGACCATGTTTGCTTCATACATACATGTTTGAACATGTCTCGAGACAGTCTTTGTATGACCACTGTTACAGGAGCGTCGTAGAACAGTGTGTTCAGACTGTATGACGTCTTAGCTTAAAGTCGCCACTTGATTGGCCTCGAAGCGATAATGAGAGGGACTCATGACTCCCCGTTAAGTAATCCCTGAGTAGAGTGAGGAATTTTTACTGGAACAAGACGTAAGAGTCGGTGTCTTAGTAGAAGCCACGCAGAGTCCGGTCATGGTGGCGCCGATCATCAGGACGAGGAGTATCATTGGGTTGTCCGTTGCGAGATTAAGAACCAGGCTGGAGACAGGGGATACTTAATAATAGCTTTATTTACCATGTAAAGCATGGTGGCGGCTGAGGAAAAAAGCTGTCCAAGCAGCTTGACTGGTCCTCAGCCCCCCTCAGGGCCCGAATCCCGGAGTCATGGTTCCTTTTTGTACCTTTGAAGCGGAAGTGAGGATCTACAAACAAAAACTACCACGTGTTAACCTTGACACGAGTTTGCAGAGTGTTATGATGTGTTCGACTTCCAGACGTTGGAGCTGCACCTCGTACGTTGCATGTGTTTGGTACCTCGAAAAGCCTAAATTTTTTTTAACGACTGCGGAAACAATACTTTACACCCGGGGAAAAATAACACCCCGCAAGGGACCACGTGCCTGACAAGTTCCGCTTCGCTCTCGAAGTCAACCTACATTCGGAGTTAACAATT